CCCACACACACACAACCACACCCATTCTAGCAAGGATTTCAAGTTGATAGGTTACTCTGCCCTTCTCGTAAACGCTAAGATTAACTGTTTAAGGCTATACATGGTTGCATCTTTCAGAAGGTTTTGAACGTTTTTATCTGGACGTGAAATTTTATATTTGCTCGCACTGCACACGGTGACCTGTGTGGCCCCTGTTTTATACCCTCGGTATTGTGTGACGCAGTGTTACCCTCTGTAGGACGCTCGGTCTCTTGTTTGCAGCTCTTGGCGAGACGCCTTATGGGTTTGTCTCTGGTCCTTGCATGCGCCACTCTGTCTGCATTCGGGGTGTGAAAATATTTCACCCTTTATTTTTGCCAAGCTTACTGTGAGATCTAGAAAACTTGAGATCTGCGTTAAGAAAAGCTGAGCTTTTTTTGGTGTGTGTGTGTGTGTGTTCTATCTATCTATCTATCTATCTATCTATCTATCTGTCTATCCATCCCACTCTTTTTCTCCCAAACAACCCCTTAACCCTAACCACCTCCCCCCAACCTCACCCAATGCCGGACACCTCCAAAGTCAACCGACAGACCTTATGCACTTTTATCTCTTTAACCTTAACAACTATTCCCCTACCTCAAATTTGTTCCCTCTGTTCTTCGAATCGAATCGCTTTATCAGCCCCCCCCCCCTCCTCTTCCGCCCGTCCTCCCCTCTACCCAAACTCCTCCCAAATCAGCCCACTTCAGATGCGTGTGTCCCCCCAAAGATCAATGTCCACCCAGGAGAGAGGACCGGAGACCCCGAGTCCCTCGGCTCACGAGGCGCGATCTTCGGCATAATTCGCCATTTGTTTTTGCCGTGAGCCGATGAATCTGGATAGGCAGCAGCACCCTTCTGGTTCTTGCTTGCTCTTGCTGCTTGCTGCTTGCAACGCCCGTCCGCCCAGGAGTCCGGCCGCGACGACGGTACTCACGCCGCTCTCAGGCCGCTCCCCCGAGGCCGATTTTCACCACTCGTCACCGGTCTCAATAGATGGCTAGTAGTACTACTTGTAGATTGACTTCCTCGTGTCTTGTGTCACCTTATTCAATTTGATTGACCTATTGTGTCTCCGGCGTTGTTTCCCGAAGTGCCAGTGGACATTCTGTGAACGGCATGGGTCTGTTGTGTGCGAAACAAGGATGAATTCGTGTTAAATGAAAACGGTTCGGCGGAGTGTCGATGTTTTGTTTGCAGCGGTTCATTCATGATTATACCAGCAGGGTCCAATCGATGCATTCAATCAGTTATTTCACTTTGCAAGAATTTGTTGTTTTACTCTACGTTTTTGTGATCCGACAAAAAAGATTACTCTGTACTGTACTGTACTGTTAAGTTGAACACGAATTTATGCCCGAAATCCGCTTTCCAGGATTGTTCCAATTATGTTCAGGACAATCAGTAGATTGGTTTTCTCTTATCTTGTCCTGTCTTCATCATCACGTTTGCGTTATCTTTAAGTCGTCTCGACATCATTGTTGCTAGGAGAGTTCTTATCAAGAAAATAAATGTGGCTCGTGTGTCTCCTAGTGGTGTTGTCTTTCTTACCCAATTTTGATGGACGCCAACGTTATGGATCGTCGGATATCGGTGTTTTGTCCCAATTATCCGCTTATTTTCTAAGTGCCTTTCTTTTAAAAATGAAGGTGTCTCATGGTTTTCAATAGTGATGTAATTGAATTTGAAAATTCCATTTTTAAAGAAAAACGGTGACTATTTTGTTAATTTTTTAAAAAGTATGCTTTCTGAAACCAGTATCACCATCAAAGCGAATGAAGTGTTCTCTGCCTTTCTTTCTCCTCATATCTTCGGTATCATCATCTCCATCACAGACGCATAATGTTGGCAGTGCTCAATAAAGCTGCTTATGTATCAGTCGGAGATCGCGTCTTGTTCACTTCAGAATCACGACTTCTATATTTTCCGCTCCTATGTAGGCATAAGAGTAGATATATTTATGATATTACTCAAACATTTTCTGTTCTGTTTTGCGTAATTGCCCTGTCCGTTTTTCGCACACAATTTGATTTAGGGTGCTTTATGAGATCGTGTTCTCGGTAATCCAAATGTGTTTTTGGATATTTCTGAAGATTGCACGACGCTTGAAAGATTTATTGTCGCGTTTTATATCATTGAGGCAAAGAAGTCAGTTATTTTGAGGCCTTTTTCCCTTTTACAGGATATCATTTTTACAAAGGTGCTCCTGCTTTTGTAGGGTTTATATTCTCGAATCGAATTGAGGACAGTATTGAACTGAAATATTATTTGTATATTTCATATAAAGATTTAATTTCTCTTCAATTTACAAAATGTATTGGGTCCGTGACTTTTAGTATGAAGAGAAATTTTACTTGTTAAAGACGCAAGAGGTTTGGTTCATGTGCCTGCCAAGGCCTTGTAGAAATCTGTTGTATAGGGCTCGTATTTTTCAGAATCGGCCCTGTTTTAACTGTTGTCGCTTTTTCAGTAGTTTACTTGTTACTTGTAATGAAACGGACAAGATAAAATACAATCATACGTATCGTAGTTTCTCATTCAAAAAAAAAAAAAAAGAAGAATTTCAAGAAACAAAAACGATTCCTTAATATCATAAAAACCTTTCCGACCGTTTTTATTACAAATATAATTTTTTTTTCTATTATTTTTCATGTAGCTTGTTGACAGTTGATGTAATGCAGGATTGTCATGCACCCCACGAGTTCTCTATGGTCATCGGCTGTCAGAAATAATTAGCCCTTCACCCCGTCTCCCGCCCCCAGACCCAGTCTGGCTGTCCTTCCTGAGCCCAGGAAAATCGAGCGCCGGCTATAGCGCTATCCAGCAGTGCTCTCTGCATCATCATCATCATCTTCATCTGATTCGAAAATACGATTAAGATTGCCGCGATGCAGGCTGGTCACGCCATCGGGCTATTAGTTTCATTATTGAAAAATTATGTAATATTAATCCAGGCGCAATGTTCAAGCCGAAAAGACGGATTGTGCGGATGACATTGTGTCATTTATAAACACGATAGTTTTTTTGTGGCGTT